TACATAGCTTTTACAATTACAATAAAAAAGGCACTTTCGAATAAAATATATCTATTATTTGAATTTTCATATCCTAATTACTAACATAAACTCAATATACGTCTCTCGAAAGTCAAGACTAATATTTATACTTTCGTCAAGTGATCACATTTATAAACTTGTAAAACAATAGAAATAGTAGGTAATTTTAAAACAATGATTTGATTTAGATTATTACTAGCGATCCGCCCCGGCTTCGCACGGGTGCAATGTAGATAAGTACTAATGTGGTGTCAGTGTGGAGTAATTAAATATACCTACTATTATTATGATAAGGCTATACTGTAGGACATCTTTATATGCAATATTTATAGGCCCGCTTCGCTCCAGCCGGCCGTTGCCACCCGGGACATACGTACGTACGGCTTGATGCGGTGACGGCCGCTTTGCCCGCGTATTTTACAGCTGAAATGTACTTAGATATTCACTTTCATGCTATGTTGTAAATGACAACGTTGATCTACCTTAAATTAATAACGTATCTAACGTATTTATTTGGATAAGGAATGACACTGTACTGTTCGAAATAGCTTCGTGAATTCCACCATCGCGGACTTTTTTGTAGATCCTTTTAGTAAATACAATTCCGTACTATATTTTTTTGATCTATCTCGTAAGGTTTAGCCAACGTTTGCAATGTAATCGCATAAAAGTTACGGGGAAAGGAATAAGCTATGTCTTAGCATAAGTAAATGTAAAACGATAACGTTCTCGAAAAAAAGAAATATATTTTCCACACACTTCTCACAACACTAAAGGGGAATGCTCACTACCCATAGACACTTTGGCCCTAGGTGCACACATATAAAAGCATATGGAAACGATAATATACAATTTAAAGAATGAAATGATTAAGGAATTGGTATTAAAAAAGTCGGTATTTTTAAGATATAAAATGATTTTAATTTTCAGAAATAACTACAGTTTTTTTCTTATTCATCATTTTATTGTTATTCTCACATACAATATCAAGTTATATGTAGTTGTTAGGTATTTTATGATCATACATTATTTGTGTCATACACAATTAGTACATCATCCAGGAATTGAGCCGGAGTAAAAATATTTGTTTGATGTCGTGCCCAACCCAAATACCATATTACTGTCATTATATGGGCACAACATCCTACCGTTCGACGGCCAACAATACAGTTACAACAATACTTTTTAATTGCACTTCTGCCAGAATCATTGCCACTAATTAAAATATACATAAAATATATTTTTCGACTGATGTGTCGACTTGCGATTCTAGCCCTAGGTAAAGAGCAGTTAGGACTAAGGTGTATTCCTTCCATAATGCTGCTCCTATGGTCATTGCATATTTCTATGTGGTAGCAACCATTAGCTCTTATATGCTCACCATAATAGGAGCGAGCTTGCTTTAATTGGTATGTACCACAAGCAATTAGTACTCTGTAAGTCGCTGTAAGTTAAAATAGGAAATTCCCTAACATTTTCGGAGCCTACGTTTATATTTCTAAAGTCTGCCCTAGCTCTATTAAAATAAATAAATAAATAATATTAGCACTAACATAATGAAATCCTGGACACGTTTGCTAACTTCAGTAGCGCTGACACAAACCGCCATTTTGCTTATTTATTTTGTTTGTTTTAAAAGTAGAATTTATAAGATGTTTTGTGCAATTAGTTTCAAGTAATATTAAAATAAATAATAATGTCAGTCCAAAAAATAGTAAAATTAGTAATTGGGAACACTTAATATTTTGCCAGAAACCAATGAAACCCGGATTAACGTAATTTCACTTTTATCTTTTCGGTACTTTTATTTTCTGTTTAAATGTTGCAGACCTGTCAGGATAAATGAATACCCCAATTAATAAACAGAAAATAAGATGGTTTTTTCTAACAAAAGCAAATTGTTGGGCGTTTCATGGCCGAAAATGGGCATTCCCCTTTGAAAAGGTATCGTCTATTAAGGATCTTGGTGTAACATTGGATAGTAAACTGACGTTAGATTTACATATCGAAAACATAGTTAATAGGGCATATAAAATGTGTGGCTTTGTGATGCGCTCCGGTTCAGGTTTCAAACAAGTCTCCACCTTCCTTTATCTTTATACTTAGGACACTCGTTCGTTCTCACCTCGAGTATGCAATACAAGTGTGAAATCTCTTATTTAAAAAATATGTTAGCAACATTGAAACGGTTCAGAAGACGTATTTACGTTCGATGCATTATAAATATGACCGGAATTATTTGAGGTACACGCAATTATTAGATATATATGACTTGTTAGACTTGAAAAGTAGGCAGTTCCAATTGGTAGCAATGTTTTTGTATGACATTGGTCACTGCAGATTTGACTGTATTCCACTAAATAACAGCTTATCCTACAACATTGCAACTAGATCATATAATCGACCGTCTCGTTTTTATGAGTTATTATCAACCGCACTAATGCGGGTAAACCTATAGGTAATACGAGTACATATTTTAATGACATTAATATTTTTTAACTATCAGTGGAGCAATATAGGAAAGGCGTAACTGACAAATTAAGAAATACAACATAAGGATAAACTCAAGTAGGTATGTGTTGACTTTGAAGGTTTGTATTTAAATGTAATTTTATGTTAAAATCATCATTCTTTATCTGTGTGTAGAATTGTCATGTTTTTGTACATTTTATTGTCTTGGTCATATTTAAAAACAAGTGTAAGCTTTTTAGGTCATACTTGGGTTATATAATAGCCTCCATGCCACTTATTTCAATTGTCAATTTTATCTGTGGTCAACGATGTTGGTTTTATAATTATGTAATCCTCTATAAATAAATATCTTTATCTATTATTATTATGTAACCGTTTGTTGGTCCTTAATAAATAAAAAAAATGGTTTTTACGTATCCAGATCACAAATCTTTGAATTTCTCGGATTTCCTCTGCTGTAATATCCATGTATTATACATATAAAACCGCCTCTTGAATCACTCATTGGTGAAAACCGCATTAAAATCCGTTGCGTATTTTAAAAGATCTAAGCGTACAAGAAAAAAATATTTTACACCTACTATGTAAAGATATCGCGCTATATACCTACAGACAGTTTTGTATTGTAGGTATATTGTACGGGTGTAACCGCCGATAGATGGTATAAAACATTGATATAATACTTACATAGATGAGTAATTACCGCCTAAAATCGTTGCTACTGCACATCTGTCCACAGGCATATGCGTAGCAAACGTCAATTCAGTGTTCAATGTGGCGTCAACCGAGTTGAACATAGCGACACATGACAGTAACAATCGCCAAAATGGGTAAATGCGTAGTGAAAGAATGCGATTCAAGGTCACAAAACCATAATAAATCATGCGGAATTACCTTAACGTGTAAGTTTATGGTTTTTGTATTGATAATATCGTAAATAAGGCTTTAATTGAAATAAAACATTGATAATTGTAATTTAGAATCAGTGTTACCATTAAAAAATCATTTTTGTTTTCCCACATTAGTGGGAGAATTTATAATTTATGAAATAATATGCTTTATACTGTTTTGAAACATTTTGTCAATAATAATAAAATATAGGAAGAACGGTAGTTGTTAGGGCTGAATCGATCACATTTTTTAGGGACCCGTTGAACGTTCACCTTCTGCCAAGCTCGCAGTGCTGGAGACTTTTGTATAAAATAATTAATTTATTCATTCATTCATTTTTCTTAATTAATTATCAAATATAAATAACAATTGTACAAAATATATATATATATATAAAATAAAAAAGTAAATAAATATAAATAAAAAAAGATAAAAAACAAAAAAAAAAGAATAAATATATATTTTTTTTTTATTTGTATTTTAAAATATTAAAAGAATTTGCAATACACCCTGGGGATTATTTATTATCAGTACAAGTTGATCATTCACTTTTGAATGCTTCATAGCGGAGTTTGATTTTACACTGAATATAAACCCTTTTAACCAAATATTTCTAGTTATTTTATTATTTATACCTATTCCATTCAATTCGAAATATATTATTTAAAATATTTAAATTTATTTATTTTATTACAAAATTGTTTTAAAAAAAAATGTTTCTTGGTTGTTATGGGTAAAATTTCATACGGTAGTCAACACTGGCCCACCATCGTAAAGTTATGTCTTTGTCTTTGTCTAATCCGAGCGATGGTATTGTTCTTGTCTCGCGTGTAAATGAGACATAAATATGTTTACTTTCAAATGTTTCGTGGTATCAAAGCTACGTCGTCAAAGTTCAAAAGTGGTTACACTTTTTTCGACGTGTGATAATGAGGTTTGCTTCTCTAGTGTTGTTTTAACTCAATGGTATAAAATAAAAGTCTGTAAAAAAATTACATAATTTATTTACTTAATTTAATAATAACAAAGCTGTTTACGTCTTCCAGTCACGTCAAATACTCACTCACACAGGAACTTAAGTCTAGTAGTAAATATTTATAAAACTAAACATCACGTTGTCCGTGATACACTGCCCATTTTATTTTACTGTGTGATCATCAGCGTGAGTTTTGTAAATATTCAATTGCGTCAACACTAACAACAACTAGTATTAAATTTAAAGAGTGCACTCCAGCATCAGCCCATTGTCATTTTTAAAATTACATAAGCAACTAAAGGTATAATAAACTTAAACTATGACATGCTATAGTTCGGTCAACCTTGGAGCTGTGACATTTTTATGTTTATAAATATAATATATATGTAAGGAAAATTTAAATTTATATAATGCCTACAAATTACTTGATTTTTTTTAAATACCTACATACATAGCTTCTATGTATTAGAGCGGTATTGGTAGTGTAAACACATTTGTTATCGAAATGATAAAAGAAAGGTAATAATATCTTATATCGCTTCGAGTTTTTCCAAGTTGAACCATATGAATTCGAATACCCCGGATAATAAAATACATTTACAAATTTATACAGTTTGTTGATATTTAGGATTGATCATAATTACGCGATCCTAGCATCCACCTCAAAGCAGGTAACGTCGTGTTTATCGTCCAACAACTCCCAATGCACTTTTACTTTAATGGAAGGATAGAAAGCCAGTACAGGGAAGGAATCTTTATACATGTATTTAGTTCCGGCTGTAAGTGGGCAGCCTGCAGCCGCGCCGTCTTCCGTGTAGATTTTGTCACAGATGGACTTACCGTCCACTCCTACAAACGGCAAATTGACTTCTAACACCTGAGCAGTCACATGGTTCTTGATAGTCTGAACATCTTTTTCTGTAAACATATTAATATATTACAGTTTAAAAGTACGTGATTGCCATTGTTTATGCTGGTGTAAACATTATAAGGAAACACTTGCACAGATGTGGCGATAAAAACTTTTTTTTACCCTTATGTCTAAGACTTACATTCCGATATTATTGAATTAATTGTTTATTATTATTATGAATAATTACGTCATCTAAAATTTTATTGGCTTTGCCGAACAAGTTGACAACGTATCTATCTGCTAAGTAGTTCCGGTCAACATGAGGTCAGGATTTATTCTTTGCTGTAGGGACTACAAACCCCCCCCCCCCCCCCCTTTACATTAAGAGTAAAATAATTATTTAATCTTCTTGAATAACTAAATATAAACACTAGTACCTAACTTTACACTATATACGAATGCATCCCAATACCCCGCTGCAGCTTTATCTTGTTTTATGTAAATCCTAAAAACTAAACTATTTAAACTAGTATATCTAGTTTAAATAGTTTATCAGTTTAGGTTTGTATTATAGTAGCATTGAGGCTGTTAGGATTTTTGATAGGTATGCTGCTATCCTACGCGCTCTCCCCTTTTTTTTTTTGTTTTTTCTGTGCGGAAATCCCCTCGGATACCACTTACCGGTGGCAATGTCGGACTCGAACCGACTAAAACCGCACGCCGTCTCAGGTACCAGTAGTCGCGGACCAGGTGTACCCTAGAAAGGAAATCCCTGGTGCCCCGACGTACCTCGGGCCATTTACGGCGGGTAGACGACCCTCCCTGTGTGGGAACCCCCATGTTCCCTCTGTGCTCCCGGAAGGGCGCTCGCGCTTCATAACGCGCTCGCCGTCACCCTGACCTGCTTCTGCTCGGGTGGCAGATGGCCTCACCTGTCATCCCAGGCCTGCGCTTATGGAGGACGGAGGTCGTTCTGCGACCTCCGGCGCCTGAGTCGTCTGCGGTACCTGGCCCGTTCCTGGCGGGCCGGGAGAGTTCTAAACCTCTCCCGGTCCCGCTCCGCCATCTCCTTTGCAAGCATAACTTGCTCGCAGAAGGAGACGGCAGAGTTCCACGCACTCTTCTCGCTCCGCACGATAGCCGCAATAAGGTTATCGAGCGAGAGAACTCCCAATCCGATGGCTGCCACGAGGTCTCGCCTCTGCTCCACCCACGCCGGGCATTCTGCCAGCGTGTGGAGCGCCGTGTCCACGGTCCGACCATCGCAGTGGTGGCACTCTGGCGTTGGCTCCTTGCGGATCAGACACAGGTGATCCCCGAAACATCCTTACCCAGCGATCACCTGCGTCAGTCGGTATGAGAGAGTCCCGTGATGCCTCTCGAGCCAATCCTCCATAACAGGTCCTACCGCCGCGATGACGGCGTGCCCGACCCGCTCTCCCCTAGTACCTAGTTATAATTTATGGTTATAATTTATGTAACAACTTAAAATGATAATGCTAGTATAAAAGTTCAAATTAAAAAATATTCCCACATTTAATTTATTTCTTTTGTAACTTACAAACACTAAACGCAGTTGTCAGACATAGCGTAAGGTCGAACAACCGTAAGTTATTTTCATCTCACTTTCACACTTCCTGCAAAATAAATTGCACAAGGTGAACTAAATGAATGTTATGTATGTATAGTATACCTACTGGCTTTGAGCATGTGTCAGCCAACACGTAACGATTTCCTCAACTTCACGGTTTCTATCACGTCACATTTTTTGCGTACGTCAATACAAAACCTTTATACCTGACTAAACTATTAATAAAGGTAATCTCATAATCTATACAAATAAATAAAATTGAAGTGTCTGTTTGTAATGTAGGTTTTTTCTTGCGCACACGGTTATTTGCACGATACCTATGCCTAAAAATCAGTTTTTTTTTGTCTGTCTGTCTGTCTGTCTGTTTGATCCGGGTAATCTTCTAAATGGCTGGACCGATTTTTATAATATTTTACTACCAGGTAGCTGTCTACATAAGGAATAACTTAGGCTATTTTTCCTCTCAGAAAAACCCTTTAAAATTTTGCCCGGTCCGGGTATCGAACCCACTAAGCCAGCGCTTTTCAAATTCCACACGAACGAAGTCGCGGGTATCAGCTAGTACTAAATAAAATCAAATGTAATACTCGTAATTGGCTTTTAACTAAACAAACGAAAGAAGTTTCACCTTTTTCGCGTCTTTGTAAATAATAAATTTAACACTTGCCGTTATCTTAACGTAACCTTATAGGAATATATCCTGTGTCTCTGTGTCTCATATATATTTTATAGGACAAAATTAACTAAGGGCTGAAGATGGTACTTATGCAATAAGCTTAAATCCAATCAAATCATACTTAGGTGTTTGCCATAACAAGCTTTTTGGATGAGATACTTGAATTAAAGAAGCAAAGTGAACGACAGCGATAATAAATGTTAATTTTATGTAACAGGGCAATCTACGAGTAGCCTTACTTCCTCAATTACCTACCTATTGTTTATATGTAACTAGTTTTATTTCCTTACGCGTGTTATTTAAATTCGCAGCACTATAGGGTGGAAGGGTTTTATTATTTATTTTTCCTTCATAATGTACTTAATGTGTTGTTTGTTAACCATCAAGTCGCATCACTTCACTTCTGGTAATCTTTTTTTTTTAGTTAATTTTTTCCTATCACGTATTAAAACATTGTATAAACGTCTACAGTGTCAAACGACAAGTTGTTTTGCCTAGCCCCGAACTGATCTTTGAGCTACAAAACCGGCTTTAGCGAGATCACTGTTATGCACTCATGAGCGTAATATACATTTGTAATTACGTTGGCCATTGGTTTATATTCATCGTATATTCGTTTTATGTTTTAAATAATAGTTGTGTATTAAAACCTTAAGAATTTTTGAGACTATGCGAGTCATTTCCATAAATAGAAACGTTTGTTTAACGCAAACCAACACCATATAGACAAGTACGTGACTAACTTTATAAAAAACTAATTTGCTTGTTTTTTTTGATATGGTACATACGTAAAACACTACTACACTTACATATTTTTGAACAGCGAAAAATATGTGAGTACGTGAAGAGAGATTCGGGTTAAGTTGATGCAGTTATACAGTTTTTAAACGTGTGATAAATTTGCGTATAAGAGTTTGAGTAGGAAAAGACTTTCCAAAAGAGCTTTAAAAAATTCATTTGAATAGCTATGAAGGTGCTTTGCAAGAACACCTCTTATTTTTCGCTAATGATCGTTTTATGAACATTTTTCGTACTAATTCTACTAACCTCTTTATCTGGAACCTCAACCTCTAAATGTGCCTTGTGACTTGGAGGAAACAAAACCATTTGGTAAAATCTAGTCGCAGTATTCATATCTCACCTGGTGTAAAGGCAATGGTAATGTGCTGATCGGTGCCTTTTTTCAGTTTGCAAGGTATTTTATTGCATGGTATGAGCTGCACGTTTTGACTGAGATCGGGAATGTTTTTTCCTGAAAAAAATTACATAAGAATTCCTTTAGTATCAGTATAAAGTAGGTATATATTTACATATAATAGAAAATTAAAATTATATGTATCTGTTTTATAATTTCTTAATTTTATGACACAAATAAAATGTTTTAACCTACACAAAATAATAATTATACACATTCCCAACATTTGTCATTATTTGTTTGAATAGACTGCAAAATACTAAATTTATTTAATAAGTTAAGCAAGAAAAACTGTGAAGTACGCCCACGTACATACGTCTTGAACAAAATTTAGTATTTACTAGACTTGCAACGAATAGTATATTCGGCAGTATACCGAATACCGAATATTCGGCGAGGCCCCTGACCGAATAGCCGAATATTAGGCAAAAGTATTCGGCTGGATTTTAGCGCCAAAAACTTGTACAGACGTGAATTAAATTATGTACCTGTTTTATGTACCAATGACTACTTAATAAATGATTATAAAAGAAATGAGAACCTTACCCTTCTAAATTTTGTTTACCACAATAATTCAAATACATAGAATCCTCCATTTTTCCAATTCAGAAGATGATTATGTACCTGTGTTATGCACCAATGACTACTTAAATGATTATAACAGAAATGATAATATGAATATATACGTAATCAATCGATTTTAATTTTTCATTTTACCAATTATTTCTCAATGACAAAATATATTATTTAAGTATTCGGTATTCGGCCGAATAATACGTAGATGTTCGGTATTCGGCCGAATATAAGAAAAGCAGCCGAATAGGACGAATACCGAATATTAACCGAATATTCGTTGCAAGTCTAGTATTTACCAAAGTAAAATCGGTTAACTCTATCAAAGGTTCATCAGATTCCATCAAGTGACAGCGTGCAGGGCCTGACGCTGACTCTGATATTGTATTACCTCTTGATAAAGGTCAAGGTAAGGGTCCGAAACTCGTCGGGCATCAGCGAAATATACAAGTGAGCCAATACGTATATCTATATCTATACAAATAAATAATATTGGAGTGACTGTTTGTAATATTAAAATAACCACTTTTTACTAAATGCATATGTACTCGTATGTTTACACGGTACATATGCCAAAATAACATTTTTTACAATTTTTGTCTGTCTGTCTGTTTGTTCCGGGTAATCTCTGGAACGGCTGGACCGATTTCGACGGGACTTTCACTGGCAGATAGCTGATGACATAAGGAGTAACTTAGGCTACTTTTTTCAGACTAGCTTCGCCCCGCGGCGTTGCCCGCGGTTTTAACAACAAACGCGGGTAACACCGCGGGTCTCAGCTAGTCTATTATAAAACTTCATTCTAATTTTATGCCACTGAAAAACACATTCTGAAGAGCAGTGGTGTTACTCGGGCGTTTTCGATTATCCTGCCAACATCAGGCCTTGCTGAACAATACAAATACACCATTGGCCAGTAGAGCTGATGAACTGTACTGTTTGTAAATAAATTCGCTGTCCCAGTAGAGCGGGTCACATTATGTAAGTGTATAAAAAACGAGTGTGCTTTAGACTACACGACTGAAGTAAAACTTCGTGGCTATGAGAGAAAGAGAGAAAGAAAATGTGTGCACCTCTCTCTCTTGCCCCTACAGTAATATACGAAACGTAACTCTCTCTCTTTCTATCTTCACTAACTTATATCTCCCTCTCAACTTCCGTTCGCCTCGCCCGATCACAGTTTTCGCAACGCTCTCGTCACGCATTCACCAGCTTACTCCCCAAGTCAAGCGTGCGTAAAGAAGTTTTACTTCAAAAGTTACTAAAATTGTCCAAAGAACCAAATTCATCTTAATTAAAATCAATCGTTTTCATGTTGCGTCACGAATTTCTGTGATCTGTTACGTGACTGAGCCATGAGTGTAAATTTTGGGCCCTTTGATCCCAGCAAAAGTCATTGAGTAACTTATCTTCTTTTTCATTAAGTCTCAGCTGTACCTAAATCAGTAAACAATGCAACTACTCTGATTCTTTTAAATGGTTGCCACAGAATAAAATGACTTGGAGTAGAAATTCGAGTTTAAGGCCACGATCTAAGTGTTATTATACTTAATTTGTAAGTATGAGTATATTGTTCTAGGTGGGTCTACGTAATTATTACCTCACTTTTAGAAGTGTGCAAGGGTCATAGTAATTAAGAAACTCGCGTTCATAATTGTTACTATTCGAAAAAAATATGTATATCAAGTTAGCAATTGTTTAATAACTGACTGACTGTAATCACGTGCAACGTGAGATTGGCAACACGCAAAAGATAGCTAATGAGGTAGATTAGCTAAGGACAGCACAGGTATGTAATTCATCTATTAATGATAATATTTTGAGTTTTAGGCATTGACAACAACGATTTTGGCACTCGCTCTGGATATCTTTTTCAGCAAGTGACATAATCTCTTAATACTTGTGATTAATCATATCATATGTACGTTCATATAGCAAAATAGAGAGATTATAACTTTCCCTACATCTACGGTTGCCTTTCTAACTGTGTAAATATAGGTAGGTATGCATACTCTACGCGTCCTACAATGCACAGCTCTTTTTTCTGTGCGGAAATCTCATCTGATACCACCCACCAGTGGGGTGATTATGTCGGACTCGAACCTACTAAATCCGCACGCTGCCGCCGTCTCGGGTACTGGTAGCCGGGAAACCAGGTGTACCCTAGAAAGAAAATCCCTGGTACAACGTTGGACCCCAGGCTATCTACGGCTTGTAGATGACCCCCTCAGGTGTGGGAACCACGATGTACGCTTTCTGCTCCCCAAAGTGCGCGCAGCACGTCGCGCCCCCGCTCTGGGTTGCTTCTGCTAGGGTGACAGATGTCCTCACCTGTCACCCCCCGACCTGCGCTTATCGCAGACGACGTTCAACGACCTCCGTTCGTCATCTGCGGTACTTGGCCCGTTCCCAGGCCTGGCGGACCGGGAGAGTTCCAAACCTTGTATGTATTTACTCGCTGCGGACTCGGTCATAAATCATAGCAGAATAAACACTGAAGCTCTGCCCATACATTTTAAACTGTCAAACTGGCTACAAATCACATTTCCTGTAATAGTAATAGTCCATACTCGCTTTAGTAAGGGCGAGGACACAATTGGAATAAAACTAATTTTATGAGTTTATTGACTGGGCGTAACGATTTATGGAGCGTATAAAATGCTCCTAAAGCGGTTATATTTTACCTATTGTAAACGTTTACAAAGTGTAACATTTACAATGTCCGTGTGGAGACGGATTCAGAATACGGAGTGTCATCACCCCTGTTCATTCCGTGGGTGACGTAAGAGTCGACTAAGGGACCAAAATTCGCAAGACAAAAGCACTGCAAAGAGAAGGAAAACTTGACAAAAACCCTATACCAACCCGTCTGGCCAGCGTGGTACATTAGGTCAAAACCTCCTTTCTAAGAAGAGACTTATGTCCAGCAGGTTACTATTAAAGGCTGTTGAAACGTTGACATCAAAATAAAAATAAAATTAACGATGCCTTCATTTTATAAAAAAATATAGTTAAAAAAATGTTTATCTGTGACAAGTGATGCGATAAAAAAAGAACCAAACTCGTGTAGTCAAGGTTGTTGATCAAAAGTTTAATCTTTTTCTCGTTGTTGGTTTCTGCTATTTCTTACAATGTATGTCTCAGATAATACTTAGTAGTTAGCAACAAATAAATATTACGACTTTAATTGAGCCTTTGAAAATTAATAATTAATACGTAGTATTCTCCGTTCTCTGTTTGTGGATAATCTCTACCTCTACTTAGTAATGTTTGATAAGTTAGAGTATTTTTTGTTAGACTGTCACCGAGATTTAAACTTTTTTATTGTTTCAGTATTGTTGTTTTCTGATTATTAGTTCCCTTCTTTTAATATTTTAAGCATTTTTAAGTTAAAAAACTTTACCGTTGTTTTACTTTATACGCCATGGAAAAATATGTAAAACGGCAAACACATAATCTTTAAATCTGCTGAAATAACTTACGTAAGTATATTTTATTGCTTTAGTTGTTAAAGTCAATGGTATATTAATAAGCAATCTGTCAAAGACTTTGTTCTTAGTCTTTGCCTTATTGGATAATCTTTTTTATTACCCAGTTGTATAACTAGATATACTTATTGTTTATTGCTTTATATGCGAGGTTCCACAACAAAGGGCCTAAAACAGAGCCTTGGGGTACCCCGCAACACACCTGTCTCCTTATTTCCACCCCGCCCCGACCGATAAACTTCACTGTCCTATCGCGTAGATAGGCCCCAATGATGGCCCGCAGGTAGAGTGACACCTCATGAAATTCAAGGGCCGCCCTTATCGCCTGCCAGGGGAGGGTGCCGAACGTGTTGACGATATCAAGGCTAACCGCCAAAGCCACCCCCCCTGATCGGACTGCCGACTCCGACATGGAGCGAACGCACCTGATAGCGTCCACTGTCGAACGCCCCCGTCGGAATCCAAACTGGCAGTCCGACAAATCAGGGCCTACTCGCGACAGGTGCCCGCTGATACGATCGGAGATAACCCTCTCAAAGAGTTTCCCCGACTCGTTCAGCAGGCATATCGGTCGGAACGCAGAGGGAGAATCTGCAGTCCTACCTTCCTTTTTCAAGAGCACCAGTCTCGCTTCTTTCCAGCCAAGGGGGAAGACACCGAAGCTAAGACAATCTGTGAAAATCCGCCTCAGTTTGTCCCCCAGTATCGACAGAGCTATCACCAGCGCCCGACCTGGAATACCATCAAATCCGGGCGCAGTGTTACGGGAAGCCAGTCGCCGCACGACTCGGTCCAGCTCTCCCTCCGTCACCTCACAGTCGTCGGTCCAGAGTTGCCGGTCCGATTGTAACGGAGAGATCAAGGGACTGTCCTGGACCTTTGGGAAGAGCGTGTCTACCACTCTTTTCCCAGGAACTCCGGGTCCAGGGTTTCCGTCAATGGAGGGATCCATGGTTTTAGCTTGCCCAGTACAATTTTGTACGGGCGCCCCCATGA